TGAATCAAATATTACAGAACTTGAACTGTCTTCCCAGTTTGTACAAATTAGTTTACAATGTACTAAAACACTGGATATGTGCAATAAAAATAAATTAACATGTAGTCTCTACGACTTCCCCATTACTTTATCATTTCATGTACCAAATGTATAGGAAGCTTTCGTATTCTCAGTACCTAAGAAATACAAATACCTTGGTGTGTTCATAGAATAGAAAGTTAGGAGGATCTTTCATAAATAGCTTACTTTACAAGCTATGTATGATGGTATATGCTCCAATCTAAACAACCTGGGAGGCAGAGTAAGGTGGATTTCTTTGAGTTCAAGGCCAGCTGGTACTTCACAAGTTCTAATCTGTCTCATGTTACAGGGAAATCTTGTCTCAGTAAACAAAAATGTAGTATTTCACCTTTCCTAATTTTTATTGAAGTGTGAAAATTCACATTACTGAGCACAAGCATGATATAGAGGCGTTTTCAATATTTTATTTAATTTTACATTTTAATTTTTGCCTTTGATGAACTGTTTTGTAGTTGTTATTATTTCATTGTTCATGGCAGCAAAATAATTCCAGTGCATATTTATTTCAATTTTCAATCTATTTCAATATAAATTTCTATCAATTTCATTATGTTTCTAGGGCAATAGATTTGTGTTTAACAAGATGTAATCTTCAATGATTTTCAACATTCTGCTGTTTAACATTACCTGCAGTGATACATAAATTCCACTATATCTTTGAGTTCTGTACAAATGAGTTTCCTTTAGTATGATTTCTGAATTATTGTTTTAATAATAAAATGAATGAAAAAATAATTTCAATTAAACAATTTCAATTTTGTTCCTATTCTATACTTAAATATTTTTATTATGAAATAACACATTGCTGATTCCCACCAGATGTGAATAGGGCATTCCTCTGTGTATAAAGTACTTTTATTGTTATGTACATTAGGGTGTGTGTGTGTGTGTGTGTGTGTGTGTGTGTGTGGCAGAGGGAGAAAGAGAGAGAGCAAAAGAGAAAAAGAAACACACAGAGAGAAAAACACACAGAGAGAGAGAGAGAGAGAGAGAGAGAGAGATCAGTCTATCCATGTGTGCTTGTCATTAACTTTCTACCTTTTTATATTTGTTGACTTCTGGAGACTTGGTCTCCTCAAATACATAAGCAGACAAGCTGGCCTACAATCTCCTGGGTGTTCTTGCATCTCCACCACCTGCTACCTTGTGCCTGCTAGGATTAGTCTCTTCAATAATGCCTGTGGTTTCTAGGTGTGTGGTGTTTACTATGCACTGCGGCATTACAGTTATGCCTGTGCAAAAGAAATCTGACTCTTAATCTCCATTTTAAGGCCAAGATCACACCTGAACTGCTGATAACCGGCTCCTTCATGATTCCCTTGAAGCTGTTCTCTTGAACAAGGGCCCACTCTGTGTTTTATCAAAACAATATATACATTGTTAAATGGGGAAGCAGAAGTCAGAGCCTTAGCTTATTAGAACAGTTTGCTGTCTGATGCATTTTCCCAGATCAAAACACATGTACCACCATAAACAGATGTCAGTTGATTGCCATTTATTGTTCTCCATACAAATGGTATAATCACATCTACAGTATTTCCAAAGAATAATCTCTTCTTGCAGTGATTTTGATACTACACACACACACACACACACACACACACACACACGCGCGTGCACACATACACACAGACTCATACATAGGTACTTACACATATACACACATACATATATTCACACACACATATTCACATACAAACATACACACATACAAACACTCATACATTCATATACACATATACATGGATACACAAACACACACACACACACATACATAAGCTATAGAACAAAAGAAGAGAAATCCAGCTCATGCTGTCTTCAAATCTACTGCTAGCTTTCATAGTCCTGGAGGTGATATTCAAGCTACATGAAGAGAAAATTAATAACCAACATTACCCAGCTGTGAATCCTGAGAACTACAACAATAGCTAGCATGACAATTATTCCCACTTTTGCAATGATGACATGATTATTATGGAAGTAATCAATCACTTTCTAACTGAATTAAATGTCAACTTCATAAGGTGAAACCCATAGTTGAAATTGATATGAGGCCTCAGAATCTGTGACTAGGCAGGTAACAGGTCATGGTATTAATAGAGCCTAATATTAATATTCTGCAAAATAGATAGAGTATTAAACTTACTCTAAATGACTTATCATTTTGCCTGTAGATCACTGCATCTCTCCACTATCACCAGAGAAGCTTCCTTATGCCAAAGATCATTAATATTCTGCAAAATAGATAGAGTATTAAACTTACTCTAAATGACTTATCGTTTTGCCTGTAGATCAATGCATCTCTCCACTCTCACCAGAGAAGCTTCCTTATACCTTAAGGCTCAAAGATCATTGTGGAAGAGAGTGCAGAAAGATTGTAAGAGTCAGAGGTGGGAGATGATCACGAGGAAACAGAAATTTCCAGACAGCAAGGAAGATACTCATAAGAACTGACAATAATGGTGACATCAGATGGCTGTTTGAAGGGGAAAGTCAGGCTCTTTTAAGAGTGTGACTCTTATTAGGTTAATCACGCTCCTTTGGTTACATCCATATCAAAGGACATTTGGGGACACAAATTAGACTTTATAGGCTTCAGCATATATATATATATATTTGGGTGGCGGATAGTAATGGAGATGTGGCTTTAATCAAAATACAATAAAATGTACTGGATGAAATTCACAAAAATTTTATTTAAAATGGGAAAATTTCTACCCAGCTGTAAGCCTACAAATTACAACAATGGCTGGCTTGGCAAGATGTCTCCAATGGTGAAATAGTGGCAATTTTATCTTAGGTATAACCAACAGCATTCTAATTGGACTTAAGGCACTTTCACAGAAATGGATCTTTGACTGATACTCTAAATCTAAGTAACTACCTGTGATTGGAAAGTTCATAGACCCTACAGGAGAACTGAATTGCCATTATCCTAAACCAGTGAAATTTCTAACTGTATTTAAAATATTTATCATATGTAATTTGGATCTATTTCTTGCTTAAAACTTTATTTCTACTTCATTTTCCACATACTAATATAAAATATGTATTATGCTACTGTAATATGTGTTATATTAGTAAATTCACATGTGCTGTTGAAACTCATTGAGACACTGATCTGGAGTTGAGGTTGGCTGCTCCACTTCAGATTCAAGCATATTTTTCTTACAGTGTCCTCAAAGACTGTTATCTGTGGATGGGCTGGTTACCTGGTCCTGTGAGGAGGACAAAAAAGGGCAGTAAAACAACCCAGTAGTGAAAATACCATGTCTTTCTGAGCAACACAGGAGATCATTACACTAAAAACACTGAGTCTATGAGTACCTCTGGGAGGGAAATTCTTCCCAGGGATCTTCCACAGCAAAAGATACAGGCACTGCTTATCCCTTGAGATAAAAATGCTTGTGATGAGAAACAGCTATTTGGAAGTCTCATCCAGGTGAAGACATTCTGCCTGAGACTCTTCATCAGTCAGACCCCCTAGGTAACTCTCTTAGTTCCCATATCTTCCCCAATGGGTGCATGATGGATGTACCACTGTCTGATCTGATGCTCCACTGTCTTTCTGCTGTTGACTGTTTCATCCTTTTACTCCTGCTTGCTGTATACTTGTTGCATATGACTGCCCTCTGACTGAGAAATTATGGATAGATGCCTTCTTCCTAAGCATGTTGCACCACTTTCCAAGTATCATCACAAACTTCTTGACTGTTAACACCACAAGAAAGGAGGGACAGGGAGAATCAGCCAAACCTCCCAACCAACCTGTATGCCCTAGGTGCATGAGGGGGAGGGATTAAGGGTATAGAAGCTGTAGGGACTTTCTTGCAATTTTTGTGGCTGTGGGGAGGTCATAGCTGTGCCTGGATGGAGACTTTCTAGTTTGGCCTTGGGAAGGGATCACCCAAAATTCAGTGTGTAAATTCTCACCCATTGCTCTGTAAATAAATGCAATAAACTCACTGGTTTCCCAAATGGCAGTTTGGTGAAATTGGACCTTGCTTTGTAGTAGGGACCAAGGGAGGATGGGACATGACATCATTATGCCTCTGAGAAGGAATTTTAACTACAACACTTAATAAGCTCACATATGTGAAACCAAAAGCAGGTTATTGTGGATCATTCTCCATATAGTACAAATAACAATGACAAT